AAAAAAGATTGTAGGGGCCCCGCGGGCCAAATAGAATGGTCTGGCAGGCTGCATTTTGCCCACCTCTGATATACATCCTTGCTTTGCAAACCATGCAAAAAAACCCTACCTGACTCCCATGGAGTGTTAAGATGCTTCCAGAGAGTAGTGGCAGTTTGACAAAATGTTCTGTGTTCCCTTGAAAGAGAACATTCACCTTTATTTTCTTGCTTTAAGACTAGTAATGTCTTGAGTTATAAGAGCCACCAAGCAACCTATAATATAGTGCAGGCACAGAAACAAAATTATCTGAAAGTAACTGGCAGCACCAAAGAGATAAGGCTAACTCCTAGAGCAGTAGGCTTTGATTTACTTTAGTTAAATTTGATTTACTTTAGTTAAAAGCTGAAAAGAAAATATGATTTATAATTTCCTGCTTTTCAAAACTCTCACTTAAAAAAAACCTCATAGAAATGTTTTCCTTTTAGATTTGTTACGAATTGGAAAATCAACTGGGCAGACCATTCGGATTCTTCAGAAAGATAAGAGTAGAGAGAAGGTACCACCAATTAATGGTGAGGAATGGAAAGCTTTATATAATATACAGAAACATAAGAAGTTCCATACTGGGTCAAACCATTGGTCCATCTAGCATGGTATCCTTGTCACCTGTGGTGCCAACCTCCTCACCAAGCCCCTGCTGAAAAACTTGCAGCTGGTGGTGCCAGAGATGGAGGTGCCCTGGGTATGCTGAAGGATGGTCCTAGCCAGCATCCCTGTACTGGGGACCTCCTGGACTATGCCAAGCAGGAGTGGGCAGATCCTGCTGTGCTGACACACAGAACTGGCCACACTGCATACACCCTGCTGCGTTCGGCCTGCTGCATATTCCAGGAGGTCAAGGCCACCAGCTCTATATGCTCATGGTTCACACCCTCCCCCATCCTGTCCTCATGTCCCAACCAGACACCAAGTGGCAAGACATGCTCGGAGAGGAAGAGGGTGCCCAGTGGACAAGCCTGTATTCTACTTTGATCCTGCAAGCCACCAGGGACTTCAGCTGGTGGCTCTTTCACAGAGCCATTGCCATGGGTGTGTATCAGTGTGCTTCACAGACAGCCCTGACACCTGTCCCTTCTGCGAACAAAGGGAGACCCTGGTACACACCAGGCTGAAGACCCTTTACTGCCTCCTTCAGAGCCTCTTGCATCCACACCCCATCAAGTCCCGGGACCTCTTCATTAACCTCCTCGTGGCCTAAGCCAATGTAGGCATCTGTCTGACCAGAAAGGAGGCTGTAGTAGGGAGGATCCCTGAGAACTATGGGACCACTTACCTGTCCCTGGTCCAATCCTGTCTCCAGGCAGAGTTTCACTAGGCAGTGTCCACCTTGGATTTGTTCAAGGTCCAGTGGGCACTGTCCAGTGTGCTTTGCTCAGTGTATCCCCGTCCTCCCTCTGCGCACACGCGCACGCACACACACACACGCGCACACACTGAACTCATTATATACCTATGACCTCACTCCCATCCTTGTTATTTTTTTATTTGTCCCAAGGAATCAGTTGTTGCTTACCCTATGGCTACGCACCTAAGGGGGGCTTGTAGTGTTTCGTAGTAGGCATTGGCTCACAGTCCCTTAAGCAACAAAAATGCCTGTCTTCACAAATGTCAGAAGTGTTTGCTAAAGGAAGAGCATTGAACTAGATACATCTAAAGTGATCTATCCCCTGTTTACTACCCTCCCTGGCATTCACCATTATTGGTTCAGAGGTGCCAGAGATAACATATCCAGCTGGTCTGTGCAACTAGCTTTTTATATTAACAGAATAAGATTCTGCTAGTTTAATTATTATACCATTTATGTCTGTTATAATATAAGAGCAATGGAGAAGGATTGGCTTCAAGTGGCTGAAATATTTATCTGGATCCTAAATCAGCACATCTGCTTCAGCTAATTTATTATTCCCATGCAGAGATTGTTAACCTAAAGCTAGGACTGGAAATAGATATACATTAAACAAACAATGAACTCTAAATAAAATACTGTGTTTCTTATAAGTGTAAATATTTTAAAGACATGGAATTCAGTGTTAAGTTTTCACTGATTACCTTGTTCCCTCATTTCAACCTGCCAAGTAGCCATCTCATAGACATAAATCTATGTAATTACATCAGTTTTAGAAACTTTTAACAACTAATGCACACCCACAGGTAATGCAGGGAACAGATCAGAGGTAAGAGAACAGTTGGAAAAGTCAGCACTTGCAGGCTTATAGGTACAAGATAATCAAGATGGATATGTATCTCAGATTGTCTAATATGAACAAAATTGTTTTCCTTGTCGTTTGGTCATTGATATATATTAGGAGTTCATAAATGTCTTGTTCTTCCATTTCTTCTCAAGTATTCAGCCCAAGACCTTGATTCCTTTTCAGAGGCTAAAGCTTGATGAATTACTGATTATTCTGGTTTTACTTTCTGCTTAATAATGTCTCTGTATAGTTCAGTCAAATTCACCTGGCCCCACATGAACTGGTCCATGGACTGGATAAATGGCATGGAGCTAGCTCTGAGGGCCAGTTCAGGGCCATGAACCATCCTCTTCCCCTCCCCCGTCCTCCCACATGTTAGATCCAACATATGTAGTGCCTGGTCTGGCCACTCCAGGGCCCGTGCTGCATGTGGCACCCACCCCAAGCCTGCTGGGGTTTCTGCCACCTTGAGCATGGGTCCCAGATCACCCAGGGTAGGCACCACAACAAGTTTAGGTCCCAAAGCAAGCATCACATGCAGTGCAGGTCCTGGACTGGCTGAAGTGAGCGCTGTGTGTGGTGCATGTCCCAAGTTGTCTGGGGCAGACAGTGTGTTTGGTGTGGGTTTTAGATCAGGTGGGCAGGCACCATGTACAGTGCAGTCTTGGACCAGTCTGGGCAGTCACTATAAGCAGCTTGTATCCCAGGTGTACAGGTCAGGTTTGGCATGCAGTATGTGCATCAGCTCAAGACTCATGCTCTGCTTTCTACTCACAGCTCTGGTTCCCTCTGGGGCCCTGCTCCAGCTAGGGGCAGTGTGCACTGAGCACCAGGGCCAGGGCTGAAGCTGCCACTGCCACAGCAGCTGCTATGTAGCTGGGCTTGGCCCAGAGGCAGCACATGCTCCCTGCTCCTGGTCAGAATGGGTGCAGAGCCAGAGCTGGAGTTGCAAAGGGAAGATAAGTGGCAGGAGACAGGTGAGAGTGAGGGCAAGGGTGGGGGGACAGGTTTCATAGTTTCTAGGATCGGAAGGGACCTGAGCAGATCATCAAGTCTGGCCCTCTGCCATGGCAGGTGCCTGAGAGGGGCAGGTGTCAGGGGGTGCAGGCACAGTGGGAGCAGTCAGGAGGGCAGTAAGTGGCAGGGGGGCCAAGCAGGGAGGCTGTGGGCTGGGGGAGGGCATGTGGAAGGGGTGCAATTGAGGGGCAAGTGGCAGGGGTACAGGCACCATGGGGGCAGGCATAGGGTACACAGGCACTGGAGGTGGGGGCAGGCAGTCAGAGTGGCAAGTGAAGGTGGGGGACAGTCAGGGTCAGGGGTGAGGCCACTTGACTTCCCTGCTTCCTCTCTCCCATGATCTGTCCCCCCTGCCTTTGTTTGCCTTCCTTCTGGAAGGAAGAAATTTAAGATGACCCCCAGAAATTAAATTCTAAACAGCTGTGTATCAGCCTCTTGCACTGGTGCCTTCAGGGCTTCCCACAGGTGAAATGATATGGGCTTGTTGGCCAGAAGTTGGGCACCACTGGTCAACAAAGTTGTGGTCCTTCTTGATTCATATTATGTGTTACAAATGGGAATTGGGAGTGCAGCATGCTTCACAGGAGCAATCCCTCACATGGCACACAGGTGATGCAGACATGTCACAAAGGTCTCTTGAGTGTAGCTGGAGCTATTGTATGCACAAAATATGTCTGTAAAAGACAAATATTTAAGCAAGCAGAGGACATTCTAATATTCAGGCATGATTATAAATAACAAATATATTTTGATATTTTTTCTAGTGGAAGAGGATTATGGGATTTCTTCTAGAAACAGAATAGAAGACCAAATCATTCCCAATCAGTCACAACCTCTTGCAATTCAGCCATCATCTTTTAATTGTGTATTATATGGGCTACCCAATCTAATTGTTATGTAATTCATGCCAGGTTTCCTTGTTTAACAGGGAACCCATCTACAATATATACATTTATTTACTTTGTCTTGAAGGCTGGTCTTTTAGTCAGTTATCTTAAGTCATTTTTGTGTGGATTAATAAGAATTGAATTTTTGAATATCCAAGGTTTGCTGGCAGATTGATTTGGTTGTGAATTTAAATACTGATATTCAAATAAGTTTCATGAAAATATCTAAGTTTTTTGTCAGAATTTTGTCTTGCTCTGTTCTTGTGATGTTGGTGAAAGTCTTTAAAACAATTTTAGAAGTTTACTTTTCATGAGTTCTTTATTTGCTTTCTGCTTAAAGAGCTGACATGTTACACCCAGGATGTCCCTGGGAGCTTTTGTGTTGTCTGGAGAAGTACAAGAGAAGCCAAAGCAAGTTCCTCCAAACTATATACCAATTTTTTGGGATGTTATCAATCGGACAGTGTTAACAAGAGCAGCTACATACACCAGCAAATACACAAGCATGCTACCAAGTGGCAAGGTGTCAGAGCCCTCGGAATCAGGGTTTGACGCAAGTTCCAGACCCCCTCTGCCTTTGTCTGGGGGAGTTTTATGTAGTTCATGCTCAAGTTTTCATGTCACAACTTACGGAATGAGGCTGAAAAGATATTTTGTACTTTGTAGCTCTTCTAATAACAGTGCTTACGTTCTCAAATTTCTCCCATAGCTCACAAATTTCCAGAATACATATTCACAATCAGCTGTATCTTAAGTGCAACTATCATGTATTTTCTACTTTCTTTTGAAACCCCTTGTCTCAGCATTTATGCTCAATTGTGTTAAAACAGGTTGTGCTCTTCAGTCTTGAACACACACATTTAGGAAAGCAATCTGCATTCTTTCCTTCCCCTCATCTCACAAAGAGTTCCATGTAGGCACAGCAATCTGTACTGAGGAGGGACCATGTAGTGGACAGGTTAAGAAAGGAATATACAGACGGCTAATTGTCCAAAAAGTCTTTATATAGGTTTTCTAATAACCTCATGGAAAATAAAGATTAAAACTAAATATAGCCAGTACAGCGCATGTGAGAACTTTTACATGTGGCCCCCCTTGTCAGTGGGAAACACCTTTAATCTCTTGCAAGTACTCCTCATGTCACTCTTTCATATTGCTGACAATACATTGTCCTTCAGTGACAATCTAGCTGACACAACGTTTTGGTGATTTTAGAAGAGCTTTATTTTGCATTGGATAAAAGCTGTTTTCCTTTCAAGAGCATAAACAGAACAGTTGCCACCTATTGTGCTTGAGAAGAGGTGACTCAAGGTGAAGGGCTTTTTTTTGAAGAGACTGAAGGTCAGTACCTATAGTCCAGAAGCAGAGTAGAAGATTTTCAAGCTTTGACATTTCTAAAGTAATGTATTTAAATGCATATCCAGATACCTAAATAAAATTAACAACAATTTTCAGGGGTGCTGAGCCCCCCAGAGATCTGAAAAAAATTGTTTTTTAAATATGGATCAAGAATGGATCATTTTCAATATTTGAGTTTGAAAATCATTAAAAAAAATAGGGCTCTGAGGGACCTGGAGAGGTCATTTAGTCCATCCCTTTGCTTCAAAATAGGATCAACTACACCTATACTATTCTGCACAAGTGTTTATCTAACCCATTCTTCAAATCTTCAATTATGGCCATTCTGTAACTATACAGGTAGAATTTTTTCCTATTGTTTGCTATAATGTATTTTGATTTTTAAATATGAGGTTTACTAGCAACCTAGTTGTAAATTTTACTACTATATGCTACTACTCTGAGTTACTTGATCTTTTCTTAGCAAACACATACAATGTGCCCGACTTCCAAATCTAAATGAAACGGGGTATAAACTAGATTTCATAGGTGTCATAGATTTCATAGACATTAGGGCTGGAAGGGACCTCGGAAGATCATCGAGTCATTGC